GAACTCGAACATTCCAGCTTTTCACGCATGTCAAGTGACTGCCCTCACCCCCACCCCCCTAGACTGGCTACACTCCCCCTGGCTCGAGTTACCGTAGCTTTTTGGAGTCACTGCACCATGATGCCCCCCCTAACTGGAATAGACCCCTATTCTACTTCGCTTCAGAACAGGTAAGTCAGTTTGAGCAAAATTATGGACTGTACAATGGAACATTCAGAATCGTATATGATAGCATCATAAGTCTTCTATCTGCAAAAAAGTGGTAGTAGAAAGAACCGTTGTGCTCTTCGTAGACGGCCACAAAAAGTTTCGAGATAACTTTTTGAACACCTTTCAGACCACAATGTGTGGTTTGTCGGCGTCAGTGTAACGCAGGCTGTAAATCACTTTGAACAAGCATTTGACAGCAATGACGATGACAACTAAGAAATGTAGATTGGAACATGTAAACGACATCCGCATGAAACAGCTGCAACTGATGAGCGAGAAAAAAAAGATTTTTCACGCTTCAATTTTGTTCATTTTAACTCCCATTTCTGTACTCAGTTCTGTACTCCTGTATTGTTCAACTTTGGCGCTTACAGTGTCACCTATAGTGATGTGCCTTATGGAAAAGTGTGTTGCAGTTCTCAACAACAGTTTTTTTTTCAAGGCTGATTAACGTTCACTTTTATTTTTGGAGACGCGATTAGCTAGCTGCCAGCCAAGTGTCCGTCATATTCGAAATTCTTGAATATGTCCACTCTATTATCGAAACGCTAGATATAATATTTTGCAAGACTCGAAGCTTTTCCAACATGATTAAGAAATTTGGAATTTTTTCAAGCTAGTTTCTTAATTTGTGATCGGATTCACAGATGCGGAGCACATAAATAATATATAGCTTCTGGCTTTTGCTATAATAATATTTATGTCCTCACAAGTAATAAACAATAGCAAGAAAAAAAAATTCATGGAAAAAAATTCAGGGCTGGACGTAAAAGTACGTTATTCAACATCACAGTTATGCTTAGATAGGTGACCAGGAGTTGAAAAATCCAGGGGCAGAAATCGGCATTTCGACAGCTGCTCGTCTTTGATTTACATGAAGAAAAAAAAACTACCAAAACAGAGCTTCTTCAGAATTCATCGCTTTCATCAAACTTAATTCTGATCGACTTTACCTTTCCCGCTCAATTTTAAACCACATTAATGTAGAACAAATTAGAATAATGAAGACTTGAAGTACACGTTCAGTACCTTTTTTATTCTGAATCTCAATCTTACACTAAATCAGCTGATTCCCCACAGATTGGAATCAGAGCAATAATGACAAAAAGAACATTACTTATGAGTCTTGTTTTTTGTTTTTTTCAAACGCTTTTGTAGAATGCAAAGCTACGATGTTACGTTCTAACCCAATACTTACTATTTATTGCATAAATTATAGATGCTGTTCCGATGAGTGACTACGCATCTAGATTAGGAGCGATTCCCCAGTTTTTGAGACAAGAAAGGGAGAATCAAAGAGGGAGGAGCAGATAAGAAAAATTGTTTGACACTTAAAGGACGAATTTACGATGGAAAAGCAACCCATTCCAAATTGAGGTAGAGATGGTGAGTAGTACCAGAAAGAAAGCGAAACCACGAAAAACGGCCCAGAACCGGAGAAATGGGACCCCTTCCTTGTCCCGTTGATTTGAGCATTGATGGGACTCTCATCGCTTTGCCCTCTTCAACCCTACGCTCTCTCAGCTATCTAATCACTCGCCACCTATTGTACTACGGCGAGTGATCAGACGATCGGTGGGCGGAGATCGCCGAACTCGCCAACTTTGAGCCATGCTAGATCTCAGAGGTCAAATCTTTCGATGCCGATTGCGTGTCTGTCCGCACCCTCAAGAGATTCACCGCTCTCCCCACTAGGCGATTTCTCCCTTCTTCGACCTTCGTTCTTTCCGTGCAATCCTCCTTTAATAGACCTTTAACCAAATGCCTGCAAAAACAAGAGGCATGCCCCCCGCCCCCCAAAATCTTGTGGATGGATATCACATTTTATTCCAAAAACTTCGCAGTGGTGTTCCGCACGGTCTTCGACATCAAAAAATCTGCCACGGTGCACGGGTTGAGCTCAACAGGATCCTCGACCGCGATCGTGTGCCATAGACGTTCTCTGGAACGCTGTATCGGGAAAAGGGTTTGCATAATTAGAGCTGGTGTCTCTAAGAAAGTATCCACAGTGAAGCAAGAATTATGTAATAGGTTCGCCAGAGCAGGCGGTAGGTCTCTTTGGGCCTGATGGCGATGCCAGATGACGTCGTATTCTGAAGACGGTGAGGGCAAGAAGAGGGCTTTTCTTCTACATGTAAAAGGACATTTCAGTAATATTCTATATGAAAATTCCGTCGGCAATCATTGTGACGAACAAATTGCTGAAGTGCGACACGGGCAAAATGTCCTTTTTTGCTTCCCTCTATATATCCTTTGAAACTGATCATAGCTCAGACCGAAATATATTAGATGAACAATTACCACTAACTAAGCAGCACTAGAATAGGTAACATGCTCAACATGGATCGCTAGCTTGTGTGTCAAAGACTTAATGGCAGAATACGGTATCCACAACAGCAACATACCCTGCTTCAGAAAACCAGAGAAGCGTCGAGTGCAGACCATACACCACAAGTGACGACGGCCTCCACAAAATATGTTTTCTGCCAATGAAATGATTAGCCTGTGCAGTTGTATTCTATCAGTTGTCACTAATTACAACTATCATTTACCAAAAATCAGCTATCACTATGAACCACTAGTACCAGATTTACTTGGAGGCCGTCGTCACTTGTGGTGTGTGGTCTGCACCCGACGTTCTTCTGGTTTTCGGACGCAGAGGGTATGTACAAATCTTTGGCACAGTTCTCGACCTTCTCTATTTTTCAAGGCTTGCGGGAAATATAAAAGAATATTACGCGTTTCTCGACCACAACACTTAAAGGAGGAATTCACGATTAGAATGAAGGTCGAAGAAAGGGAAACTGACCTAGTTGAGGGACCCACGGACCTCCTGAGGGTGCGAACTGACGCGCAATTCGCATGGAAAAATTTGACCTCGGCGACCTATCATGCCTCAAAGCTGGCGGGTCCGGCGATCTCCGCCCACCGATCATCTGATCACTCGCCGTAGTTCAATACGTGGCGAGTGATTAGATAGCTGAGAGAGCGTAGTGTTGAAGAGGGCACAGCGATGAGAGTCGCATCAATGCTCAAATCAACGGGCAAGGAAGGGGTCCCATTTCTCGGGTTCTGGGCCGTTTCTCATGGTTCTTCCTTCTTTCGTGTACCACTCACCATCCCTAGGTTAATTTGAAATGGGTTGCTTTTTCATCGTGAATTCGTCCTTTAAATAGGTGGCTGGCTTGTGAACTAGTGAATTATTCCAGTGAGCGTGAGCCCTGGCATCAAGTTGAGTTGAGCTGCATTTGGAAAGCCATGAACTGTGACTGCCATCCGACTCTATTCATTATGTCCCATTCAACACTCTTTAGCTGGAGGCAGAATCCAAACCAATTGGGGGGGGCTTTGAAATACGACTTTCAACTTATCAGTACAGACTATGAAATTCGCTCCTTCATTTGAAATCACCGATCAGCCGTAGCTCGCGCTAAGACGTTTTGTTGGACTATCAGCTTAGCTGGCGAAAGTATTGAATATCTAATCTGGCTTAAAAAGAGCGAGACTCGAATGACTTCGAGCTACAGTCAAGCGCGCAACGTGAAGTTGACACCAGGATATTATAATACAAATATGGTTCCCTGAAGAAATAAGTGGTCGTGCCTGAAGGGAGGTCAATTGGTGTAATGGATATCCGCCTTTCCTCCCAGCATTTCCCTTTCATTACAGACTTCTTTTAACCCATTTAGCTACTCAATTAGTCCCCAGCAGGTATAGCTGAAGGGTTAAGAAACAAGGGCACCTTAGGGAATTAATGAAAAGGTGTCAACGATAAATTCCAAGATTGTGCAGCAAGTCCTTGACTCTAGTCAAGCTTGGTTTCATTTTCAAATCCTAGGGTTCAGAAAAACGGATGCCTTAATAGGCACCTAGAGGATAAAATTCACGACAAAAATCTCTTTCGACTTGCTGAGTATGCGAACGATCCTTAAAGGAATCATTGTAGCGTAGCATTGAAAAACAGGGTAAGAGACCGAATTTTTGTGCTGCTTGGAATATTAACGACTAGTGAAATCTTATAGGCTTAGTCGTAGTTTTACATACTCTTCCTCGGAAAGTACAATGAACAGTAGCAGTGCTCCCTAAAAATAGTCTAATAAATGTCAAATATCAACCAAAATAGAACAGAACAGAGAACCCTCCGTCTACAAATAGCGGTAGAGGCTCATGTGAAGCTCATGGAGATAGTTGTGCCTAAATAGTTAGAAGTGTATTCCTCGGCTACTATTGATCACAGGAAACCCCTGAGATAATAGAGACGACTTTAATGTGAAAAGAGAAAGACTTCTGCTCATGACCTTATGAATAGGCCTCGTCACTCAGATGGAATGGAACTCGTTGGCAGTCTCGAGAGTGCATATCTTGCTCCTTGAAGCGGAACACGGGTGATGAGCCGGACTTCATGAGGTTAATATAAACGAATGGGCATCATACCTTGGATGAACGATGTGTTTTTCATTTTGGTTTTTTATAATTGAAATTGAATTGCCTTTGATTATTTATGGGAGCTATCCAAAGATACGGGGGCACTACGGCAACGTATTTAAAAATCCGCATCAAATTTTTATTGTCATGAACGGGACTATTTAAGAAAGAAAAAACCTTCATAAACGAAATAATTAAAAGTCTTAGAAAAGGGGAGAGACTCCAAAGTGCGTGAGCAGTTTCCATTTTCCTGGCGTTCCTTCCCTCCCCAAGGCTTAGAAAAAGGTGATGCCCCCGTATCTTACGATAGCGCTTATTCATGTCAATAATTTACTTCAGCTCGTTTTAAAACTGTTCCTTTTCAGTGGTCACCTCGGTCTACCAACTCAACGAAGGAGATTCTGAAGGTTCTTAAGTGCATTAGTTTGGCCAAAAGAAGATCCACTGATAAAAGGAGCATGAGCAATATGGAAGGAATTCTTTCCCTGCTCTGTTTTGCAGAAGATATTCGTATATGGATAGAGTGCGTTTGGAACGGCAAATGGTGAATGGATCGTTGCCCTCGGGGGACAACGATTGAGAGCACGGCGACGAGAGGGGTCAAATGTCGCACTCGGGACGATGTGGTGCTGATTGCCGGGTTTGTAAATGCGTCCGAATGAGATTAGCACACCCGAGGGATGTGTCAACCCGTCACAATCATCATTCGCTCTGATATCCCATCCAATCAGAAATTTCGCACATGAAAAACACCAATTCAATTACTGCGAGAATTCTGGAAAACGCATGGTGCACTGCCATCGAACTTTAAGCGCTTACGGGAACCCCTACATAAATAATTTCAAATTTCAAAAGTTGTGTAAAACTTGCCACAACAATAAAATGTAGTCAGATAAATTACTACTCTTCAGATATAATCATAATATTCATTTCTTCAAGAGGAGTGAAAGTGAAAAGGAAAACGGCGCTATCGCAATATACGGGGGTATGGTAAATGCAATGCATTTAAAACCGCGTAAAATGTCCTTTTCTGTTAAAATCGGGACTAAACCTTTGCGAAGGGGAGAAAATTCATGATGCGTGAACACTTCCCATTTCCTCTTAAGTTTCTGTCCCTTCATAGGCTTGGTTTCAGAAGATGCCCCGTATGTTGCGATAGCGCCAGGAAAAGTAAGGTAAGCAACCAGTTTATTTTGCATATTTTCTAAACCCACTCACTACCGGCTTCGAGATGTCGGACTAAGACAGTTGAAAAAGTAATTGAAAGTGATTAAAATAGCCCAGAGGCAAGGGTGAGGATTACAGAACTGAGAGCCAGTGGCAGAGTTGAGAGGAGGGAGCCTGCTGTGAACACTAATTGGTTGACATCCGCCCTCAACATAAACAACAAACAAGCAAGAAAATTAGGTTCAAGGCTCTAAATAGTTTTTTTTTTCAAGTTTTGACAGCGATCTTAAAATTGCTTTGCATCGAAGTGGTACTAATTTAATTTAGCGAAAAGCGTGCAAAACAAGGCATTCCTGGGCTAAAAGTGTCGTCACGTCGCCTCCTGGTGCGAATGTCCTCTGTTCACAGCTTATCTTTTTGGCCACGCTCTTTCTCCCTGACCTGTACATGCGAAGTGAAAGCTCGCACTCATCACGAATTTTCCTCGTTAATTTTGCAAAAATCCTCAACGTGGCCATTTTTTAAATACTGGACGTATAAAGCTGCTTTAGCAACGTTTGATAGAGAAAATCTTCTAGTTTTGTATGCCATATCAACTTTTTAGGGCTCTATGTCCTTGGGGGGGGGGACATTCAGAGCAGAGCATTCAAAAACCGCTGGTAGGTGACACTAGGACTAAGCCCAGGACTGGGAATAAATACAAGAGAGAACGATGGTTGCTCCAAATCCTATCCTTCTTCAAGCTTGGTCCCAAGCAGGGTCAAGCGAGGCGTTGAGGAAAATTTGGAAATACGACCCCCCCCCACCACCCTCCGCCGGAGGCCGAAGTCCATGAAACAACCCTCTTCAAAAGCCGAACTATGAAAAGGTTGAAAAGCTTGTTTAATTCTCCCCCAAAACTGCTCATAAAAAAGCCCTGCTACCCACCGCCCACAAAAAAATTCGTTAAGAAGTACAAAAGTGAAAAAGTCAAAGAATAATCATTATTGATGAGTCCTACCAAACGAGCAAACGAGAAACAGACCAGAAAACGACAAACTAGCCACTAAAAATGGCATACTATGACAACATCTCTTCTTTATTTATTTCCTCCACAAGACTTACCAAATTCTAGTACTACACAGATTGTGGTTCTCAATTTGCACGTAGCCCTTCAGTTGAAAGAAGCTTTTTAACCGCCTTCGCCAGCTGTGTGTTGACTGGACTTTGGCGTTGACCGTGGAGCAGCTTATTTACTATTGAAATTTGAACAAATATTCAAATGATTATAACTTTCTTCAAATATGACGAATTTTCAATCTGAAAGCAGATTTGGAAGTTTTGTGAAGAGCTTTTTCTAATCAGTACTGAAATTACAAAAGTTATAAGAAATAACAAATTTAGATCAAATAACGAGGAAAATTCGAGAGCACGAGTTTTTACACTTTCCGGAGCAATAACTTGCTTCATTTCCGTCAAATTCAAAAAGTTGATACGTCATACAAAACTAGAAGATTTTCTCTATCAAACGGTTGCTAAAGCAGCTTTATACGTCCAGTATCAAAAAATGGCCACGTTGAGGATTTTTGCAAAATTAACGAGGAAAATTTGTGATGAGTGCGAGTTTTTACGCTTTCCAAAGCCATAACTCCGTTCAAACTCATCCAATCCGAAAAGTAATACGCCATCATAAACTAGAAGATTTGCTCTATCAAATGCTTACTAGAACTGCTCCAAACGTCCAGTATTAAAAAAACGGCTACGTTGAGGATTTTCGCACGAGTACCGCCGAAAGGTACTTTTTCGCTACATTGGCACTATTTCAACGGCTGTATATCCTTTTAAGGGCGTATGTACTAAAGTAAGAGCAGATTTGGAATCATTGCTTTTCTCTTTCTAAGAAAAGTGATTGATTAGCGTTTCTCAACTTTAAAGGTTACATGTTTATAAATTTAACCCTGAAGAGTCCGTTAACGCAATGTTGAATGGTGTACACCTCCCTGTAAATGCGCACGGACACTTTCAGAATTCTCTCGATTGTTCCTGAATTGAGGTTGTTTGTCCAAGGAGCCGTAGTTCAAGCGCGCGCAACAACTAGACCCTTTCTCGGATGCGCCGTGTACCTCACATCCCTTCAGATTCGGGGTCTTACTTGAAAGATGAAATATCTCTTGGAAAGCGTGCGAAATTCAGATTCTTTAACTTGTGTGGTGATAAAACACTGAAGTAACTAAGAATTACCGGACGCCTCAGAATCACGAAAATTTTGTGTGGGTGAAATATCATTTTCATTGGAAATCCTCTGGCCTGGCATCGACTCATCCTTGATATTTGTCTTCCGACGGTGATGATCCCACTGCATCAAAATGGCTCGATCTCTTCCACCCAGCGGGCCAATACGACCCCCCCCCCTGCGACGTGTCGAGGATTCCTCAACGCACGCTTGACCCTGTCCAAGTTCTCTCCCGTGCCTTCGTTTAATGTCCCGCCTAACGAATGAGGCGCCTTTTTGATATGACGGATATCCGAAGTAAAGGCAAGTTATTGCTTCGGAAAGTGTAAAAACTCGTGCTCATCTCGAATTTTCCTCGTTAATTAATCTAAATTTGTTATTTCTCATATAACTTTTTGTAATTTCAATACTGATTAGAAGAGCTCTTCACAAAACTCCCAAAAATTTCTATCTTGCGAAGGAAATAAATAAAGAAGAGATGTTGTCATAGTATGCCATTTTTAGTGACTAGTTTGCCGTTTTTTGCTCCTTTTCTCGTTTGCTCGTTTGGTAGGACTCATCAATAATGATCATTCTTTGACTTTTTCACTTTCGTACTTTTAGACAATCTTTTCATAGTTCGGTTTTTGAAGAGGGTCGTTTCATGGACTTCGGCCTTCGGGGGAGGGGGGTCGTATTTCCAATTTGTCCTCGACGGTTCGCTTGACCATGCACGGAATCTCCTGTGTCGGCCTTTGAAAGGGCTCAACTCCATTCACAGAAGGCTCACTTTTTCAACATCATAACCCTAACTACTGGCTTTGATTGGCTTCCACAATAATCTAAGCCATGTGCGAAGTAGGTTTCCACATGAGGAGCTATTCAATCCATTTGTCATGACAAATAAACAACACCAGAGTTTGACATAAGGTTCGAATTACTAGAAATCAAGCCTAAACTCATACTGGTGAATATCGGAGTCATACGGGTGCATTAGATATGGAACCATCGATAATAGGAATAGCGAGCCCTTTCAAGCCCCAACTCCGCAGTACCTAGCGTCCTTATGAATTGCTAATTGTTTTCATAAACCCTAGTGAAAGTGGAACAGCGAAGGATATTTACTGAACCAGCTTGCTCTTTCAACATTCAAACGCTTATTTGGGGAACTTTCTACCCATTGTTTGGTTTATTTATTTATTTATTTATTTGATACGTTTGAACTCGTATGTTATCCACATCTTTTGAGTACTACCACGTCGTCTAACTGTCATCATCAAAAATAAGTAGTAATAACGCAGCAGAGTACTCCTGAGGACGACAACAAATAAAAGAAAGAAAAAATGAACAAACAATTCCATCGAATCGTATTGATTGTAGATATTTCAATAAGCTACTTACATAATGAACAAGAATAAAGTATATAAAATTATCAAATTATGTTTTGAAAAAGTCCACGTCTCCTTACATAAGTAGCTACTTCCTCACAATACAAGCATAAAAATTGAAGTCGTGAAAGGATAACTGGTATTGAACAGTAGAATTTGGTAGGAGCAGAGATCATGGAATCGGCACGTAATCTCGATGAGCCTGAGGGTATATATGCAGAGGTAACGCCCGAAATACTATGGTCACCCTCTCTCCCTGCCCTCTCCTGAAATTTGACACCGTCGATTTAGCCACGAGCTCTTGACGATCGTCATATATTTCGTAACGTTCGGTTCTAATGACACATCATTACTGCCACAATGTTGGTGGAACAATCATTCCAAAGGTGAAGGGTTCTCTCATTTTTCTGGGCAGTCTTTGATTGGATCATTATTTGGGCAGTGCATTTCAGAAACCATTTTTTAGAACATTTTCAGATAGTGATTTCGTAGTAACGATGGCTTCTTCAACTCATAATGAACATGAGACTTTTCAGGCATATGTTGGAATGGTGCTGTAATTGTACCTCAAGGACGAGTTCTGAGGTCCTCACCATCTAACTCCAGCCGTTTAGCAGTGAAAGCGTTAGCGTTGGAGAGGACACAACCAATGAAGCTGCAT